AAGGGTACAGTTTCCTGCTGGGGTCCTGTTGCTGGTGTTTTGCGGGAGTGGAGTCCAGGGATTTGGAAGCTTCTCAGTAACACTGCAGAGGACGCAGATATTACTGGAGGATGCACGATGCTGGGAAGAGTCTCCTGGAGCAGAGAGAGGGCAAGTGTGGTAGGGCTGCATGTGTCAGTCATGTCTGAAGTCTGTTATTCTAGTTACTATGGCTGTCTAACAATCTTCAAAACAGAGCAGGGGAAAACAACTTTTTATTGTTCTTTGGACAGGACATGTAAGCTTTTCAGGCTGGAGTCGTCTGAATGCTTGCTCACTAGGATTTCTGGGGATCTATGCTGGTGGGTGGGTATTTCTAGAGTTGTTGATGTGGACTGGATGTTCATATTCCCCACACTGAAATCAAATCCATAATGTGGTAACATTGGAGGTGGGCTCCTTGGGGAAAGGGCATAAAGGTGGAACATTCAATAATGAGATTAATGTTCTTATGAGACAAGATCCGAGAGTTAGCTCACCCTTTATCTGTCTGTAAGAATCCAGCAAGAAGATGGCTTTCTGTACACACTAATAGTCTTTTTACCAGAACCTCACCCTATGGGTACATTGATCTCGGACTTCTTACCTCCAGAACTGTGAGAAGTAAAGCTTGTTGTTTGAGCTACCCAGTTAGTGACATTTTTTTTCTGGGCCTTCTCTAAGATTGACAAATGGTTTTCATGGGCTGCATCTTATGCCGTGAAAGTTTCATGAGCTTGTGACTGGTGAACATTGATAGAATTTTCGGCGTGGAAGGGAACCATCTAATAGGATTTTGGCATGGCTGAAAAGATAAGAAATATGAAATAAAAGAGATCTTTATTTTAAGAATATGGAGAGAGAACCCCCCCCCGACCCTCCAGGGTCTGGCATTCTCTCTGCCAGACACGTGGTGTGGCGGCATACTTGTAGCTTTGGTTTGGGGTGGTGCCTAAGGGGCATTAGTGATGCACAGGTAGCCCATTGGAATTCATTTCTCATGCCACAGGTAAATTGCCTAGGGGCAGGAAAGGTGGCCTCAAGATAGAGTCCCTTGGTTCCACCTCTCAGGTTTTTTCTGGCTACAGTGTCCCGTCTGGTGCAAAAACCTTTCAAACATATGCAGGGTCACCTGCAGTGGGCACTGGACTTGGCACTGACTGGAAAGTCTTAATTTTGATTAAGGGGATGTCCATCTCATGTTTATGTTTTAATGGATCTCCCAAAAATGTGTGTGTATGTGTGTGTGTGTGTTTGTGTGTGTGTGTCTGTGTATCTGTGTGTGTGTGGGAGGGAGAGAGACAGACAGACCGACAGAGAGAGGGACAGAGAGAAGGAGAGAGGAGATTTGAGAGAAGGTATCTTGACATTTTTCTTTTTTAAAACTTCATCTATAAAGTCAGGCAGCATTACTTCTACTATGCTGTAATTTGTCAGAAGTGAGTAACTGAGGTGTTCCATATTCAGAAGGAAGAGAATAGATTCTACCACTTGATAGAAAGATGTCAAGGTTCTGGGCGAGTATGTGGGAACATAAATATTGCTATGGCCATTTTTGGAAAATACAATCTGCCACACATGCTCTGCATACATTTCTGCAGGTGCCACCTACTGGGTTAGTTTTTATTTTGTTTCTTGTGTAATAGAGTGTTAAAATTAAAGTTAGAGACTGAGACATCAGGATAGAATTGATGTGCTACCCTATAGCCAGATTACAGTATGCAAAATTTTTTTTCCATAACTTAACCCCTTTAGCCATTTTCAGAATGGGAAATATTGATGGGGAAGAGAACATTTGTGGTGGATTAACTGGTTAACTTGTAACACTCACCTGAACTGAATCAGCATGGTGCTGGGTATGGAAGGCCCACCTGAGGATTGTTGGCAACAACATAAAAGGAGAATTGAAGGGGAAGATGATGTGCTGTTGATTCTTCTGAAAAGATTGTCACACTGGCTTCCTGATATTAACTTAGCTGTTCTCATCATTGAAGGAGTTCGGGTCGGATCCTCACTGTCACTGAGGATGGCTGTGATTCTCTTTAGGGGAGCTGTGGTTCTTACCCTGAACATCACTTCCTGGTTCCAGTGCAGATCCATCAGCCTGCTGGCACAGATCCTTCATTTCACTGGCGCAGACTTTCTGGCTTCTACCACTGGCCTTTGGACCTTCCCAGTGCAGATCTTTGCTATATTTTTTCATGAGACATTGTGTGGGCTCAAGGAGTTCAATCAGATTCATGGAGGTATTGGCATGGGCTCTAGGTCTTCTTCTAGATTCATATAGGACACTGCTATGGGTTCTAGGTCCTCACCTGGATTTTTTGGATCTCTAGCATGTGGGAAGATCTCCTATCCTCTTCTGCATTTGACTTTTTAGGCGAATATTATTTTTTAAAAATCCTACAAATTATGTATCCTGTAAATCTATTCCCTTGTAAACCCTGACTATAATAATGTTGAAATAATAATAATTTCTTTGGAAAGAGCAGTTATTCTGTCCTAAGCTTAGTAAAAGGACTCTTGGAGGGTCTTGAATCATGTTTATTGCATTTGGGGTTCTCAGAGGACTAGAACCCAATTTATACCTTAATAGTTCAGTGAAGATAACAAATTCAGGATGCGTGGTTATCCTTACTTTTTATTAAAGTTTTATTTTATTGACATTTAATGTTTGTAATTTTATTTGAATTAAGTTTTGATTTTTAAAAAGTATTTGTTTTTCAAAGATCATTTCCTTAATAAGGTCTTTAGTAACAGGCAGTATAGAACAGACTAAGCAGGGTAAGTAAGTTTATGACCAGGGCAGTGTGTGGGCTCACGAGATAAATCATAGATTTCAATAGACTTGACCAAATTCATGAGGAATATGTTTCTTCTCAAGATGTTCAGCCAGGCATGGTGACATACACTTATAATCCCAGCATTTGGGAGGCTAAGGTAGGATGCTTGCTGTTAGTTCAAGGCCAGCCTGGGCTACCTAGTGAGTTCAAGACTAGCCTGGACAACAAAATAAGATCCTGTCTCAAAAAATAAATAAATAAAAATAAATAAATGTAAGATGTTCAAACTGGATATGCCTCAAGGTCCCTACGCTATTGCTGAACTTTCTCAGAGGTGATGGAAGGAGTCTCTACTAATTGGTCTAGAACAATTAAAACTTTTGAGGAAAAAGAAGAGAGGAACACCAGAGAGATGCTTTTCTTGTGCATCTGGAGATGATTATGTTAAACATTAAATGCAGGAGGATGGAGATTTTACTTCCAGAATTCAGGGGGCAAAAGTACAATTGTCTGTGAACCAGATATGGTATGTAGGATGCTTGAGTGAACGAATCAGGAGTTTATCCAGTTAAGCCTTAGAGACACAAAGGACCTTAAGAGAGAAAAGGGACTTGAAACCAAGTAATTAACAACTATAGAAAGGATTCACAGGCAGTCCATGACTAGGATGACCTGGTATGTTCATGTGTCAGAACTGAGAGATTTCCCAGGATGGGAATTTCTAGTGCTCAAATATAATATTCCTGGACACATTGGGATAGTCAGTCCCTTACCCTTGATTATCATGGAACAGCACATTGCCAGGGACTAGGAGACAGCAGGGAGGGGCTCAGCATTTGATGCACAGGGTAGCTGTGCAGGCGCCAGGAGACAGACTCATTGTGAGTCAATATCTAGTCCAGAAAGCTCAAAGCCAATTAAGAAGGGTATCTCCTCGCTCCTTACCATGTCTCTCTTCTATGCTGGTTCCAAGCAGAAACTGGCTAGTAAATAGAGGCACTAAGGGAAAGGAAGGAGAATGTAGGCAGAGAAACAGAGAATAAGTCATGTGAGTGAAGCAGCCTGAACAAGGTATCAGGAGAAGACTTAGTGCTAGTTTCTGATGATGTAAGACTTTCTAATTACTGAGCTCAACTCTGTTGATCACTAAAAGAACTGACATTGGTTCTCAAAGGGATTAAAACATCCTGGGATGTGACTAGTGTTCAATTAGAGCAAGGGAATACTAAATCCACTGAACACATGTGAAGGAAAAGTGGGTCCTAAAAACAGCAGTTGCCTCATGGCTATCTTGTTCAACATACCTGTGACAAGTGAAATTGCAAACACAAAGGGTATGTCAAAGAATAATGGTTGATTTTTTTATTTGATTAAGAAAACTTATCCTCTTTGAATGAACTGCTTAAAATTCCTTAGATGATCATCTGAGAAAATATAGGAGATAATTTTAAATTTTCTCATTTTTCACTCAGCCCCAGTGGCCATCCCATTCAGTGTTGAATATTTGCCTCTTCCCTAACTGGAGGCCAAAAGTTTCTAGGGGTAAATGTCAAATCTTCCACAGAGACCACCAGGCTTATTGATTGTCTTACACGGTTGTTAGTGAGTGTTTAGCTTCCCCACCTCCACACTACCTCTCAGCCATGGAAAGCCTTCGGCTACAGGAGCTCAGCTCCTGAGGTGCCTCTGCCACTAATGCGGCCCACCCACTCCCAGCCAGCTCACACCCTCCCATCCTTGGCCCACAGACTCAAGATCTGGTGTTGGTTCCTTAGTCTTTCTGGCCAAGCCATTGCTGCTTCGGACTCCATTGTCCAGAATTTTTATACTAGAATTTTTATACTGCCTCAGCTCTTCTGGGGTTTCTCAGAGCTGGGATCTAATTTCAATGATATTACAACTTCCTATATAACCTTAGCAAGTTGTCTTAATCTCTGAGAGTCACCATACCTTGGGCGGAAGATAGCTATGTTGTCCAGGGGTGCTATAAAAAGTTAATGGGTATGAAAGCACTTTATAAAAGTTAAGTAATAAATATAGGTGTGGCATCACTATTATCGCACTACGGTTGCTAAACTGAGGTTGAGATTTCTAATGCTGTAATTCTTATTCTTCCTTTCATCATCTTGTACCCCCACCCCTTTCTTTTTCCTGGATCCTTGATCTTCAGGACCTGATGTGGTAAATGTCAGTATCTGTGTACCCTTGGGACGAGGTGTAGATACTTCTTCCAGGACAAAGCCAGGGACAAGGCTTTCCCACTGCATCATTCAGAGGTCAGTTACTGTCTTTCCTTTTGAGGTGAGCCTCCTGAGCCTTCTCTAACTACTTTTCTCCCTGACCTGATTTCCTGATGACAGACTTGTAAAATTCCAGTTCAACCAACACTCTCCGGCTTTCTTCCCTCAGAGCTATCACACAGAAGAAAGCCAGAACAGCAAGTATCCTGGAAGCCAGGTGAAGTGTTTCAGAAACTGTGTCCAACGCTGCCAATAATCTCAAGAAGATGAGGCCTGAGAACTGATCATTGGATTTAGCAATGTGGAAGTTACTGTTGAACTTACTAAGAACACATTTAGGGGAACAAAATTTAAACAGAAGTGTTATTAGAGTAGGTTCAATAGGGAGGAGGAAGAGCTAAATTAGAAACAGTCAAATATAGACAGCTCTTTCAAGGAGTTCTTTGTTTTTTCTTACCGGAAAGAAAAGAATTGCCAATAGCTGGAGAAAGATATGATGAAGGGACTAAAAACTCTCTCAGGAAATAGAGAAATCAAAGAGAGGAGTAATAGAGCGGGAGACTTTTTGAGCTGTGATTTGAACAGTTCAGCGTGTCCTCAGAGGAGCTGGCCTTCGGACACGGATGGAGGCTGACTGCCTGCGAAGGGGAGGGACACAGGACACATGTGGTTGGGGGTGCTGTGGAGGATTCTTAGTTACTTAGGAGGAGTGAGGTGCTGGAAATTGAGGAAAAGATTAGATAAGAAGCAGCCACGTAGGAGAGTGGAATAGTAAATGATCTGGAGAATGCTTAGTGATTGCTGGGAGTGGCAGTTGCCTTTGCAATGCTCATGATCATGCATCTAATTTGGTAACCCCTGTAGATTTTTCTCTGGATATGTTCATTAATGTGAGTAAAAGCATAATAGACAGATTTTTGAATTATTTTTTGAGTCTGGGTTGCCCTGTTCAGTCTCAGAAGACTGTTGAATTTAATTGTCATTAAGCTTTAACCAAAGAGAGTTCAGTATAACAGGAGTCAGACAAAAAATATAGGGGAACGTTTAAGCTGGGTAATAGGAAAACTGAGTGAGGCTGCCCAGAGAACAAGTGAAAATTTGCAGGATCAATAGATTGAAGGAGTTTGTGGGGTGGAGGGACTGTTCGGATTGGGGTACAGAAAGTGGGATGAAAAAATTAGTTGTCAGGGTCAGAGAAGTAAATGTCAATTATTATTATTATTATTATTATTATTATTATTATTATTATTATTATTTGGTACTGGGAATCAAAGTCAGGATCTTGAGCTTGCCAGGCAGGCACTGTGTCCCTGAGCTATATCCCCAGCTTAAACATTAACATTGAGGTTATGACAGGCTTGCATTTATGGTAAAAACCTGAGTATGGTGGGCAACCAGTGGTTAACTTGTCACACTCAGCTGAACTGAATCAGCGTGTGCTAGGTGTGGAAGGCCCACCTGAGGGATTTTACCACTGAGTTAAAGGATAACTAAAGGGAAAATGGAGTGCTGGTGATTCTCTGGAGGAGCCAGTTGTGCTGACTCCTTGGTATGAACTCACTGTTTTTATCATTGCAGGAGCTCAGGACTTTGCAGTTGCTATGGATGACTGTGTGCTTTTCAGAGACGCTCTGGTCCTTACTTTAAGCATTGCTTCCTGGCTCCAGTGCAGAACTCTCAGCCTACTGGCCCATATCCTTCATTCCACTGGCACATTTTAGCTTCCACTGCTGACCTTTGGGGCTTCCTGACGCAGATCCATGAAACAGACTTGCATAAGACATTGTCATGGGCTCTAGGCATCCAGTTGGACTCATAGAGGACCCTGTCATGGGCTCTAGGTCTTCAACTGGACTCATGCAGGACATTGCCATGGAATCCAGGCCCTCAGCTGTATTCTTTGAGTCTTTAGCGTGTGGACAGATTTCCTGAACTTTTAGGTGACTCTTTGGGTGACTATCATAAAATAGTCCTATAAATTATGTGTCTTGTGTTAAATTGTTTTCCTTGCAAACCCTGACTACAACACCTGAGCACGTTCACGGAAGTAAGCGAGAAAGTAAAGAGGATGAGATCACTGGAAAGACCTCTTGCAGGGTTTGAAAAAGCAGACGCTGGAAAGCATACTTTATTGGAGATACAGAAGTTAAGAGGAAGCAGGAAAGGACTAGAATTAGAAGGGGCAGATCTTGAGTTAATTATCTTCAAAGACAAGTAACCATGTAGTACTGGTGGCAGCGGCGGGGTGAAAGTCATCTGACTCCAACAAACGCAGACATCTCCAGAACAAACACAGGTCCAGTTTAACGTACTCCAGTGGTCCTGTGTTGGCCAGTGGATAGTGAAGGAGGAAAAACATGTTTAAACCTTTTAAACTGTCTGGCTTAATGGAGATTGCAAAGACAAACTGTTCTCAATTTTTTTTCAGAACACTTATTAAGTAAATATTCTTCATGACATTCAAAGTAAGGAAATCTTTCAGAGTTCAAAGCAGGCCTTCCTATTTCTTTTTCTGCCCATGCTGTCTGCTGTTTCCCTGAAGGATGATGTGAATTGTGTTTAAAAATGTTTTTCTTCCCCAATTATGAAACCAGTGCATATCATTGTACAAGACATATAAACCTGTGAAAAATATTAAGAAAATGTAAATTGGTTATAATCATACTTCCTAGGGAGAATAAATTAGTGCATTTATCTATGTCCTTCTGTTTCTATTTTTTAAAACAAAATTATGATTATGTTGTTTAACTTCATATCTACTATACTTACTTACCTTTTATCAGGAATATTTCCTTACTGATCACTACAAAGCAGATTTAATAGAGTAAAATATCACAATTGGATTTTATATTTAATCTGATATAGTTAGACATGTAGTCCACACGCATTTTCATCTTTTACAGTGCATGTTTGAGTATACCTTTTCTTTTAGTTTATTTGCACACACACACACACACACACACACACACAGAAACAGACACATTCACACATGTGCACACACCCCTCTCATGAACTCTTCCTGTGTAGGTTTATAAGTATGCATTTTGCTGAAGGAAATAAATATTATAAAAATATAATTTTCTCCAAAATTAACTTCTAAATTTATTATTATTGGTATTGTTAAATGTATTGACGATTCCACCAAAAGTGTCAGTGTGCCAGTATGTGGTTTTCTTTTCTTTCAGCCTAATTAAATAAACTTGAATTTTACCTGGATAAATTAATAGGTAAGAAAGATTTAAAACAGCAAAACATTAACTGAGCTGAACAGCAATGGTAGAAGGTATTAAAATGTGTTATAAAACAAGAAAAATTAAAACTGCATGGTTTTTTTTTTTTTTTTTTTAAACAAAGATTGACAGGGATGACATTCTTGGGAGATATAGTCTAACACATATCAAATTTTAGTAGATGATTAAAGGCAGTATCACAGATAAGTAATGACATTGGTGAGTATACAGTAAATGGTGCAAAAAAGCCATGATTCTTTGGAAAACATTAAATAAAGAACAAAATACATACCCTCTTTCTAAGAAGCTAGTGTGATAAAATTAGAAGAAAAGATACATGGTGCCATCTAGTGGTTAAGTAGATAAATGCATACATATTGTTCAACGAAGTGTCTATTGGCAAAAAATAAAACGGGTTGAAAGAAGAAAGAGGTAAATTGTTCACTAATGAAAAAATTATACTTCATACCTCGGCACTAACTTAAGGTAAATTTTGTTAGTGCTTAAAGAATATTTTCATTTTTCAGAGAATATTATAAATGCTAACCTATATAGTGATCCAAAGCTAAAGTACAAGAAATTACAATTCCAGACATTCTCAGGCATGCCAACCTGTCATACTTTTTTTAGTAACACAATGAAACAAAAGAACAATTTGAATAAAGTCATGCTGATTGAAAATTCATATATGAGCACAGAACCTGCCAGCAGTTATAGTTTTGAATAAAGAACACAGGAGAAACCTGTTCTCTGGACCGAGGCACGTGAGGGAGGTACAGCTCTCGCCCTGCAAGAATGTGGCTGTGTAGTTCCTGGGCTCGGTGCAGACTGAGCTCCCCATGCCAGCTCCACAGAGGCCACCCTGTCCACACTGCTTCTCTGCTTCCAGGCTCCTGCTGCAGCGAACCTGGGCTGCTGCAAAGGGTCTGTGGCTACGTGGACTGGTCAGACCGCTGCTCTGTTTCAGGGTACAGCCTTTCTTCTCCACAGGCAGCAGCAGTGACCTCCTTCCTCTAACACACTCTGCTTCCTGGCCCAGAAGTGGGCTCCTAAACTAAGCTGGGCCTACCAGCCATTTCATTAGAATTTTGGATTTGGCAGCAAGGGAACTGGACCAGTCTCTGTCTGTGTCTCTGTCTCTGTCCGTGGCAGTGTCTCTGTGTATCTATTTCTTTCTCGATCTCTCTCTCTCTCTCTCTCTCTCTCTCTCTCTCTCTCTCTCTCTCTCTCTCTCTCTCATCCCTTATCAAAACTGAAAGCTTAAAATATACAAGATTTAGTTGCCCATTAATGTAAACTAGGGAAACAGAGAGACCCAGGAGATGGTGCAAAGCCCGAAAGATCTGCAAAGGAAGACCGATGGGGAAGCACCCCAAGCTCTCCTCCGGGGTTCTGTTGCTTCGCCCGCTGGATGTCATTACTCCTTGGATTCCCACTAAACTTCTGAGAGGCCCTTTCTTTTGCTGAAGCATGTGTAATTGTTTTTCTATACATTGAATTCAAAAGTGTACTAATCTTCTGAAAGGGAAAAACCTGAGCTTTATCGTTTAGTGGCTGCCTAGAGTTTGACATCAAGCCCTCCTTCTTAAAAGCACTTTAGCAGCAAGTACTTTCACAGTAAACACTTTCCTACCTTCCTACCTGTGGCAGCAGCTGCCTTTCATCCTTGAGACCCTAGCTAAGGCGTTCCTTCCTACAGAAATCCTGCTGCATACCCTAAAGCTGTTTTCTGTTCCTTCTGTGTCATCCCATCTCACCAGGTCCCTAACCCCAGTGCTTTTATGACTCTCATATTCACATTTCCTGTCCATTTGGAGGAGACTTAAACTCAGTGAGAGAGGACAATATTTTTTTCACCTCGGTGCTTTGTACTGAACCTAAAATACAGTCAGTACTTAAATAGCTGTTCAGCGAACGAATGAATACACACGGAATGATTTCTGTTATCAAAGTGAAAAACACCAAGGCCCAAGTGAGTTATAAATCTCTTCCCAGCAAAGTGTCCAATCAGGCTCATTTCTGCTCAAACTAGGGTTTATAAATCTCTGATAACATTTTCGAGAGCTGCTGCCTCAGGTTTCAAAATGAAAGGAATACTTCAAATGTATGCAACTTTCTTTTAAAGCTAAGTCAGAGCTAAATGCAAATGAATTGATATAAAGATGATCTATATTTTGTGGACATGGGTGGTCCAGACACCCATGAGGAGATAAATAAATGTTTGAGGTGGGTCCTTCAGTGATTTTTACAATGGATGCCAATTTGGCAAGCTTGACTAGGCCCTACCAGTGTGAGGAACCATGATTTTGGTATGATGTTGGGGAATTTGTGGCTTCCATCTGCTGGTTATCTCACAAAATGTAGAGCTGAGAAAAATCACATACTGATTAAATCATAGAATCCCACACTTGGAAGGGACTTCATGAGATGATCGGGCCCGCCTCCTGAAGGTCAATGCATAAATCATCTTGTGCAGATGGCTGTTTATACTATTTTTAAAGCTCTTTAAGGATGGAGATTACACAGCTTCCCTTGGTAGTCTGATCTTCATGGTCAAGAACTTCCTTTTTTAAAAGCCCAGCTTTTCACTGTAGTTTGGCTCATTTCCCCTATTTTTCAGCTCTCTGTGAATGTGGAGAGTACATGATCAACCTTCCCTGCTAATTATCTCTGGCCCATACCTCACACCCTTGTGACTAGTTATTAAGATCTGTGCTATCTCCCCCTCCTAAGTGACACAGTTGCAATTCCTTTATGTTTCAGGAGGCTTATTTCCCCCTTTCTATTATTTTTGAAATTTAAATATTTTTTTCTCTTGAGAACTGATTGCATGGCTTACTATATAAAACTGGCAATCTCCTTTCTGCTCAAGTCCTGATCAGCTGTAAATAAACAAGCAGCAGAGTTTACTCCTTATCTTATCCCAGTATCATATTTGCTGTTTAAATCACAGCATTTTCTTTTTGTTTCTCATGTAGATTATGTTCTACCATAAAGCTAAGCCTTTTACTGTCAAACTGCTTACGTTTTGCAAAATTTGTCCTGGCCTTTTTGGTGAACTGGATCACCGCCCCTTCCAAAAACATCCTTGTCCTGACATTTAGAGCCGCGAAGAGGGCTTTGCAGATTTGGTTAAGAATCTTGAGTTGGGACGATTATACTGGAAAACACAAACGTTCTGATAAAATGGTTACACGGAGGGGGCAGGGTTATAAAGAAAAGATAGGAGCAGAGATGGGAGAGACAGGCTTTCAGGAAAGGGTAAGAGTCCACAGAGCAAACAACCCAGGCTCTAAAATCTGGAAAATCTTCTGCGCGGATTCTGCCTTGGAAACCCCCACAGGGAGAGCAGCCCTGCTGACACCTTGATTTTGGCCCACGGAAACCCAGACTGGGCTTCTGACTGCAGAAGTGTAAGATAATAAATCTGTACTGTTGTAAACAACTAATTCGTGGAAAGTAAGCTGTAAGTAGATACCATCAGCAGTAAGAGGTAGACACCATTTATTCTTAAAAAAACACCTGTGCTCATCCCCCACTTACTGGTTTTATCTCACAGGGCACTTTTGAATTTACAAAGATTTCTTAGTCATAAGTTTCTGTCTAAACCACAGAAAAATTAATAGGTATTTCCTAGACGATTGAAAACCTTATGATTTCTGATCAATTATTTTAATGCAATTTATGAGCTGGAGGGTTTTCCTTGTTGAGAGGGTTATGTGTACCTGTTACTGCGCCGTGAGCCTAGAGTGCCTGCCTCACTGAGAGCCTGTCCCTTCCCTGGGCTTGGAGACGTGAGACAGCACAGTTACTGCTGGCTGCGGTGATCCTCCGACTCCTGTCAGCCTGACTTTGCAGCTCACCTCCCTTCTACAGTGCTGACCTGCCACAGTATGACACTCTGTTTTTTCTAGATGAAATGCCAACTTGTAAAGAATCTGAAGCGTCAGGCATTTTCAAGGGGATATGTTACTATTAATGTAACTTTCTGGGGGAAAGAAATGCTACTTTCCTAGAAATGACATGTATTTGCTCCAGATGTCAGATGAAAATGATTTCAAGCATCAAAAACAAAATTATAATTGTTGAAAAGTGAGAAGCATCACTCAAAAGCATTGTATATGTGTGTTGGGCGGGGGGAGCAAAAGCTCTCTCTGTCTTGGCAAGAACCTGCAGTTTCCCTGGGGAAAATCACTTCTACAGAGGAAAACTTCTAAATTAGTTCTCAGCAAAGTATGGCTCAAACTCTTACACTGCCCTGTGAATATTTCTGACCCTGGGTTGTTCTTAAGTAGAATACTGTCACCTGCATTTTTCAGGAAGTGAGGAAAGGAGGGATGATATTGTGTTTCTGTGCTCCTCTTCCTTCCCAGTTCTCTCTATTTGGAAAAGAAAAAGGTGTAATTTTATTTTTAAAACTCATATTTCCAAACTAATGCTCTCCATGTGGTTTTCC